CTCACACACTCTCTCACACACACACACTCACACACACACACACACACACCTAACCCTAACCCGGAGTCGGTCTACCTCAGGGTTCAATGTGTGGACCGCGAGAGCATGTCAGGGGAGGTAGAATAATAATTAATTATTGACTACTAATTTGAATCAGTACTTTATAACGAAAACAATACCTTAAAAAGGAAAAGAAGCAGGCTTTTACGAGTACATCATTTTAAAAGTCCCAGGATGCAGTAAGTGAATTCAAAGAGAATTCAAAACAGCGCTAATGCAGAGAAAACACGGCCGATTTATTCAGAGATTGCGGAGAGAACGGTGACTTGCATCCAGATGTTGGTAAATTATTCTTTTCAGCGTGTATTTGACTGAAGGTGTTTTAGATTGTGCTGTGGTCAGAGGTTTAGTGATTCTGAATACATCCATATGCAGTCAGGTCAATGCAGGCGGTTTAGTGGTCTTTGGCGTCTCCCTGTGGTCCTGTTTGGTATCGCAGCTTGACTTGTGCTAATTTGTATTGAAAACTGATTTAAATATTGATTAATTGATTGTATACATAGATTGTGAATTATCAAAAAGTACTTATAAATAAACAAATGGGGGACTTTTTTCCCACTTCAAGCACTGCCTAAAATCAAGGCGAGATTAAAACCAAATACTAGCTATGTTTCCATCACCCTCGTTTTATTCACATTTTGAAGTATCGCATCAGAAACGAGTGAATTTCGAAAAGAAATCCCTTAATTCGCAAAAAAGTTTTTACGTTCGCTTGAGGTGGTTTTTGACTTGTGCGAAAAAGGGTTAATGTGAATAATGGGAGATGGAAATGCATTTTGCGAATAAATCCCGCATGAGCATTCAAAAAAGTAATGTGACTTTGCGCTATGGGACGGGATAACCCGACTAACCAGTGGACCGATTTTGTTGCACAGCATCTGAAATGTTGTTTTGGTCGTTCTGAAATGCCCGAGCAAAGTCTGTCATCAAAGTATTTCTGTATAATTGTCTACCACGACTGCGTTCCCAAACAGCTGACATTCACCTCCGAAAGCATTGACAGTATTTATTGTGTTTCGTCTGCTCATTCGAAGCGCAAGTAATTTATTATATTTGAGAATTATTATATTCAGTGGCTTTAGTGATATTTAGTGCCAGTTTATCAGGAAGTGACGATTTTGTTCTCTCTGACTCGTTGGATGGAAACGGTGCTTAATTCATGAATTCCCAATTTTCCACACAAGTTAAATTCGCCACTTAGGATGGAAACCTTGAAGTGTGAATGCATGTTTTTCCAGGCGCTGCTGGAGTTCCTCAGTAAGGTGGTCCTAAGCGAGAGGCGTAACCGCATGAACCTGTGGGCCGTCTCCACCATCATGGCTCCAAACCTCTTCTTGCACAAAGCTGTTCCCAGTAAACTAGCAGTGGACGGTCCAGAGAAGGGTCAGGCGGAGCGGGCGGCCGACATCATGAGACTCCTCATCCGCTACCAGGACCTGCTGTGGACGGTAAAGAGCTGGAGAAACTCACTTCTCCCCAAAGTGTTCAAGAGTGTTTGATCTGCTCTTCTGCAGGGGGCGTATTACAGAAGTTTCTTATCTTAGGTATTAACTTAAAGAGGTGATGACATGAGAAATCAAATATGTGACTTAGTATTTGATTTTTTACATTCAGAATATTTTTCTATATGACATTCCTGTAGAAATGTAGAAAAAGTATTTTTCTTTTTTGTACTGTGCTGGGTTTTGCAATTTTGAAATTTTGTGCAAATTGGCTTGTGTAGTACATAAAGTTTTGGTGGCGTTTGTGTCGGAAGTGAGAAAAGAATTCATGTAATTTGACAGATGTGGTCAGTGAATGCATTTTGTGCCAAAGCAATGATAAATGATCCACAGTTTAGCCCACAGACACTGATGTTGTGCTCGCTGTGTGAAGAGTTGCGACTGTTAAGCATCTGTTAAATGAGTAAATGCTAATGAAGATGGAATTAGGAGGGAAAGAGAGACGGGCGACAGAGCGTGAGAGGATGAGGAGATGATGGGATGATCGCTTCAGAGGCTTTAGTCTCAGGAACAGAGATCACGAGACACGCCTACAGGACCTGACAGAACACACGAAGTGCACAAAAGCTCATACTCAACCATAGTGTCCATAACATCTCTGATGAATCTAGAAACAAAATCATTGTTTAAGACAGACACTTATGATGGACAGGAACCTGGAGACATTTTGCCAAATTTACAATTTTAAACACATTTTCATTTGAATTTAAACAATTTTTAAGAAAATGTTACAAACTTACGTACACTGTAACATTATTTTCATGGCAGTTACCTCGCAAATTCTCATTCCCCTAAAAATAAGCTTTGTTCACTTATATTTAATTTGAAAATATTATATTATAAAATATCTATAATCATAGTATATAATAAGAATCTATTAGTTTTCTCTTTTTTTTTTTTTTTGATTTTGAGGTGAAATGTGGCGTGATCTACACTTTTTTTGGCTAATGATCTTTGACTCAGATTGATCAGTTATTGATCAATTCTTTTCTTCTCTCGTGTGTGTGCGTGTGTGTGTGCGTGTGTGTGTGTGTGTGTGTGTGTGTGTGATCAACAGTGTCGTACTGTAAAGATCCAGCTGGCTGATGTGAGTTTCTCGATGGAGTTTCGTCTCACTATTAATTCTCGTGCATCAGACCTGATGTCACAGTTTTATAAAGAACTACACACCTCTGACAACAGCAGGGGACTCCTGAAACGGTATGAACACACACTCACACACACACACTCACGCACACACACGCATGCACACACACACACACACACTCACACACACACACACTAACACACTCACAAACACAAAAACACACACAACAAC